TTCAACACAACTGGAAATGTGGGTACACAAACAAGGAAGTCACACAGGTGCAACTTAATTTCAAGGCCCATTAGCAGCACAAAGGGAGGGAGGTACTTTCAAATGCAAGCCCTGGAAAGCAGCGGGGATGTTTTCATTTTCAATCTCCACATGGTAAGAATAATAATTATGGTTCTTTTTATTGAGAAGAGCATTCAAGTTCAAATACACTGCACTTCAAACTCAAACACTACAATATATTATATGTTGCAACTGATGTTTGCAAAATGCAGACATTCAATTTGGACTAAGTCTCAGAAAATGGCCATTTGAATTGTGCCTGCACCTTCGATTTTGTGATTGTGTTTCCCAACTGACCATGCACTTGTAAGCAGTCATAACACAAAGGGGAGCTAGCATTATGTTGGCCTTTTAGAGAACCTTCAACGCTGGCCTGTAATTCAGCTGATGTTGAAGAACAACAACCGGGTTTTGAGAGTAAATAAATGCACCCATGCACACACCACACACCCATGCTCCCCGCCCCCTGCCCCACACAGTACAGAGCTCTGCAATGTGTGCCCATCCCCCAAACCATTCCAGTCTAGATTGCAACTATCAAGTCCTCTGAAGGTCCACCATGCAGAATCACCTATGGGAAGGAAGCTCAGTCATGCCGGACAAAACCAGAGTCCTGCTGTCAGGTGGTGTCTGCTGAGGTCCCAGAAAGGGAAATGAGACACCAAGTCCCACTTCCAAGCAAATCCCCTTGAGTATAAATGGAGAAGAGAAACTATAAAAAAAATAAAAGTAAAAAGCCTCTTGCAGCAGTGAAACCAAATGCTCTCCCCCTACAGCATAAGCCAAACCATGTGGGCAGGATTTACTGAACACCTTCGATAGGACAGCTTTGGACAAGACACTATGGGCAAAACAAGGATAAACATGGGCGCTGTCAGTCCTTAGACAGCAGGCATTTTCATTATCACACATCTGTACTTTTTACCTCCCCCATGTTAGAATGTGGCAAAGGACCTCAGACCCAATTCTGTCCGCTCTGCTTCATAATCTAAGATCACCATTCTGGAGAAAAGCAGAATTAGTCTTTCCGGAAAACCAAGGTGTTACTCTGAAAGCAGATAATTTTGACAAAGGCACAAGCAAGTCCTTTCAGGGAGAAAACCTGGAGAAATGGTGATTAGTTGAAGGGTGGAGATTTCTAAAAATTTGTTTTTTCACTTCTTTGACCCACCTTCCTCTTCAATAAGATAAACAGAGTTCAAAATGCAGTTCAATATGATTCTTGATTTTAATAAAGTCCACTTCCACCTAATTTATCTAAAGGGAATGATTCACTTTCACATAATAAAATAGCCCAAGAGTGATAAATTTGGAAAGAAAAGCCATTTTGGATAAAAGCCACATGGAACACAACTAAACAGAAAAAGGAAAGGGGACACATGCACATACACACTAATGTCCCCTACAAAGAAAATAAATGTAAGAAGCCCTTCTTCAATTGCTATGGTACCCAATTTAGAGGCAGTTTATAGCCAACCAGAAGCTATATCAGCAAGCAATCAGACACAACAGTAAGCAATCAGAACCATCACGAGCAGTGCGACAGCAGAGTAAGCAGTAAAGGCACACCAGAGAGAGCGCTTCTGAGCAATTACCACATGTCTTAATGCAGAAAGGGAGAACGAATAACTTCACACCCTAGGACTGGAACCCTATAAAGATGAACTCTCACAGCTTAAGAGCTATTATTCCTGCTATGACAAGAGGGGTATGAGGACCACCTGTGTGACCGGGGCCCAGACAGAAGGCACACAAGCAATGGGGGATTGATAATGAACTAGGACTACAAACTTAAGTTCTTGTTCTTCTTTTTCACACCCTAATCTATAGCCATGACAAATAAACAAATGCTGATTATTTGAAACGATATTTATTTCTGAAGGAAATAAAGGAGAGTTCCTTTAATTTTTATTTTACATCTATGCCCACTGTGGCCAATGCAGAGCCCAGGGAAGGGATGCATATGCACACACACACACAGAGGGGCAAGCTTCTTCTTTTTTAAAATAATACATAGGTCAATCAAGGAATAGACACCCAGACCAAAAAAAAAAATTTCCTTGTTAAACAGGCTGTACTGTCAGCTCTTTAGGAACCTCAACGAAAACGATAGCACACTTCCCCAGACTCATCCATTTGCAATGATTTACAAAGAGAAGCAAGAGATATAGCACACACTCTGTCTTCTCTCTGTGGTGCTAGGCGGCCTTATACTGAGTTCAGAGGATTCCAGTACCAAAGGTCCCCTCTCCCAAATATTTAACTCACTGAAGCCCATGAAACCACTTACTTCTCAGAGATGCTGAGAAGATTATACTTAATACTAGAGGCCTGGTGCATAAAATTCATGCACTGGGGGTGGGGGGGTTCCATCAGCCCAGCCTGCATCCTCTAGCAGTCCAGGACCCCTTGGGGTATGTCCGATTGCCGGACCAGGGGGATAGGGCCTAAGTCGGAAGTCGGACATCCCTCTCACAACCTGGGATCCCTCGCTCCTTACTGCCTGCCTGCTTGCTCCTTACCGCTTGGCTCGCTGCTCCTTAGTGCTGCTGCGGAGGTGGGAGAGGCTCCCACCACCGCTGCTGCGCTTGCCAACTGTGAGCCAGACTTTAGGCTGAGTGGCTGCTCCCCCTGTGGGAGCGCACTGACCACCAGGGGGCAGCTCCTGCATTCATTGAGTGTCTGCCCCTGGTGATCAGTGCGCATCATAGTGACCAGTCATTCAGGTCGTTCTCCATAACGGTCGTGTAGGCTTTTATTATATAGATTGTGGCTCCAAGAGTCAGGAACAATAACTGGTATTAATGGGTGGTTGCTCCATGTTAGTTTCCTCTCCTTCCTTCCAAGTTTCTTCCAAGTCACAGCCCATTTCTAGTCTGTTTCTCCTCCATGAGGCCCTAACACCTCAATTTTACCTGCCTGCAAAGCTTATCTTCCTGTGAGAAGCCTTCCACACTGACCCCCATTTACAGTGACCACAGTTTGTGTTATTTTATGCCTGTGTATTATTTTCCTAATTGCCCAGTAAAAATCTCAAAGGTATCTCACACACACACACACACACACAAGGGAGCTAGAATGAGGTTAATTATTGAAGGCATAACTTGTCTCCTATTTTCCCCAAAGGAAAAAGAAAACTCTTTGGTTCTTTAAATGTTAGTGAAAACAGGGGACTGATGGTATTGCTAAAGGAGCCCCC